TCATTTGTGCCAGTATCCAGAAGGGTCCCGACATTTCATGCAGCGACCATAAAAGGTTGCATAGTTTGTTTTTGTTTTGATCTGTGATTATGATTGTGTTCTCGACCGCATAAGGATGACTTTACTGGCAGGCTATGTTTAGGGAACCTTTTCTAGACCCCTCCCCAGATGGGGTGAGCAGAGTGGCTCCTCGAAAGGGCTGCTCATTCGTACAGACAGGACTGGATTGCACTGCTGCCTAGAACCCAGTGCATAAACGACCATCTTATCTGTGCATCCCATGAGTTGTGATTAGTCTCCCGGCAGTCATCTCTGCCTGTCCCCGTCGTCATGGGACTTTTGGGGAGGGGGGGGTATAGGGGTTTTGATGATGACTGCACATGAGTTGATTTATGCGGTGAGGCATAAGCGCAGGCTGCAACCACACATCTTGGCTCTCCCTTTTCCTGATCCAGTGGTGCAAGTGTTGCAACGACTGGGGAGAGGGAGAGTTACAATGGACTGCCGATAGCCCAGTTTGTTGGGTTTCACCTTAGTAGCCTGTCCATTAGGCAATGTCTTTGTCTGCCGGTATAGTCATTGGGTTCCTATGTTGGTCACCATTTCCTCATATACCGCCGTTGGGATCTTGTTGGAGCTCTGTAAGCAAGTCTGCCTGATGTAGAACTCCACTGCAAATTTTTCATTCGGGGTTTACTCCTGTAGCCTTATACCTACCAAGGTTATTCCGCAAGGCAGCGGGACACTGTCTATGTGCCAGTGGGCCTATGCGCCGTTGCTCCGAGGTCCACTGGTGCTCCGAGATCCCCTGCTGGTCTAGCTGGAACCACGAGGCACCCAGTTACCGTGTGTTGCCACAAGGAGGCACAGCAGGATGCTTGATGGTGAAGAGGCTGTGTACTGGCAGGGAAAGACATATGCAAGTTGCTTCCCTGTTCACCATGAGGGCTAGCTAGCAGCAGTAACTGATAGCGAGAGGAAGCAAGCAGTGTTTGCACCTTAACACTAACAGAATTCTGCCACACTAGACGCATTCCACCACCCTGTGCACACACACACACACACACATATATATATATATATATATATATATATATATATATATATATATATATATATATATATATATATATAGATATAGATATATTGTAACTGGTACACCATCTTTCTCGCTAAGAAAGTGGGGGACAGCTTTCCCTCCTTGTACACTCACACTCAGTAGTATATAACTGTTGTAACACTCATTCGGTGGGCTTCCATCAGTATAGTACAACAGGACGGACCAGCACTTGTCCGTGTATCACGGTAGGTGGAGTCTGTGCATATGAAGAAAGAGAATATATAGAAAAAAATTTCTAAACAAAACTCGGTAACATATAACTGGACTTGTGACTCACTCGTATCAACGTATATTTATAATGAACACCAAAAATGACAGATGACCTCCAGTACGTGACTACAGCCAAGAAGACGACAGCAAGTCATCACCGGTAGTCCACACTCTGGCTCTCCTGCACTAGTTAGTCTGTCTCCTAGACTAAAAGTTCTTGTATCAGGAATACTGTTAATATATCTTGTGTAACCGTTTTGCTGTTTACCAAAAATAAGAAAACTTTCATTAAACCTAAACACACGCATTCTTCTTTCCTATCTGAATATCAGAAGAAACATAATTATCATTAAAATAAAAAAAAATCAATAAAAATCACTCAACACTGAAAAAAAATCGTTTTCTTGTTACAATTCCACAGTGTGAGTGCAATGGCAGTCTTTGTTAGCTGTATACACGCGCACAAGACGCGATGTCACGATCAAAGACATGTGTGTTCAGTCGTGAAGCTGGAAGGAAGATTTAAAATACATAAAATAATGTTACTTCACCCATCCTGTCTACAAGTATAAATGGTTCAGCCAGGAAAGCAAGACCTTTGGCATCAAAAACATTTGTCTTTTAATTTGATTTGTACACTAAAGATCCCTCATCCACGATTTGCTGTTTGACACAACAACCGTATCCAGCCCATACGACCCCATACTAATCTCTATAAGAATAGCCCAATCCATTGTAAAAATTATCAACAATTCGTAGTTAACTCCCTGCCAACCTTACTTTTTTTATTTTTACTATGATGAAATTTCTTGTTAAATGACCTTCTCAACCCCCTCTTGTTTTTATAATATATAATAATTGTTCCACTTATGTTACTTGTAAGTAATTTGTCAATAAACCGTTAATTATTATTATTATTATTATCACACACACACACACACACACACACACACACACACACACACACACACACACGGATATGGTAAAAATAAAACACTGTCCTCGGCATGATTCGAATTCGCACAGCTCCATGTGACAATCGAAGGTGAACCCCGTGAATAGCTAAAAGTTATTGACTGGATCGAAGTTATCTTAAATTCTATCAAATTACAGTAAGTTACTTCTACAAAGTTACTTACCAGCCATCAAGGACCATATGGCTCTGGGAAATTTCAGATATGTTCAGCATTTTTTAATGGGCAATCATCATGTTATCACTAAACAGAAAAATAAAGTTAACTCTAAGCTCATAATGTTACTTAATATCAAGTATATACACGAATTGAATTATCTATGTCATATATGTAGATAAATAAAATAAAAGGTGTTGTTTTTTGTAGTCTAATAGGTTATATTAATTATGTACAGTACACCCACGAAACGATTATACTAAATATGATGCCAGACAAGTATGTTAATGGCAATCTTAACTGAGTGACTCTGAGAACTTTTTAACTAAACTGTCATGAATTTCTTTAAGAAAAATTCTGTTTTAAAATAATGTCCCTTTTCATGAGATTCTGACGGTGCCATATTACCCAATACACTTTCATATGGTAGAGTTTAGTCATCGATAATTGTCGGTGTCTGTGACGGGTGTTGTTGTGGCACCATGAATGATTTTAGTGACGAGAGAATGATTATACACACCCACCCACTCATGAAAGATACAGCATCATAGACATAAGTATTGTAGTCGAGGCGTGATGCTGCTGAAATTAAAAACAGACAATGGTGTTGTCAAGAGAACATTTCCTCACCTCTCTTATAACTCTCCTTCTTGTAATTTACATTTCTGATCTTCTGAAGTTTTATGCTGAATCACGCTGCACCGTGAACTTGATTATCTAATAGAAATCTTAACTCATTCACGATGACGTGTTTATATCCAGTCCTGTTCATTCTTACGTAATACCCCATTCATACATATGTTACTTAAGGTGTTAAGTGTTGAGACACTTACCCATACCATGAATACTTTTCACGTATAGTAATTCAGATATCGACATACAGTAGAGAGTGGCAGCTGCCGTGATAACTGATGGCTAGGACTGCAGCCGTCAAGAATCATTTTAATATTGAAAAAAAGTGTATAAATGAGTGGTTATGATACCATGTACACTGAAAAGGTAATGGGAAATTTTTTACGAGTTTAAGATTGTAAAATTTTAAGTAATTTTACAATCGGACTGTGAATGGCATGTTATTCTCCGTGAACCTTACAAAAAGTGACAACAAATCGGGAGAAAGATACTGAATACTTGATGTCCCTTTTTGTTGTTGTGGTGATTGTAAGGTAACGAGAAACAATACTTTTATGAACCTGACTTAAACAGGCGTCTTGTTGAGAACTTTTTGACTTAGAAATTAAAATAATGAACTATATATCAATCATATCCTATTATATAACAATTATTTATTATTAAAAATTTTATTAAGAATTATATATTTTATTATCATTATCATTTCAGCGTAATGAGTTGGAAGAATATATTGGATAGAAGATGAATGGGCTGATGAAGGTAGAGCCTGGTGCTGGCAGCGAGACACATTGATTCGATCCGATTTTAATGTGTTTAAAGGTTGTGGGTGGCGAGGAAGGTAAGAAGGAAGTTGTAAGAGTTGTGAAGAGCTGAAGTGATGTCAACAAAGAGGAAGTAGACATTTACAACGACTGTATACTGACGATGTTAAAGATACGTTGTTATAATGCAGGTTGTTTTTTTATGTAATACTGAAGCCTTTGTAAACTACAGTATAATTTTGAATTAGCTAATAAGGCACAAGTTTTTTTTTTATATTACCTCTGTTTTTATTTACTTTCATAACACAAGGATTTTAATATATTTTTTTAGTGTGTGGGTATAAGTTAAAACAACAAATTCACTTCCCTGGTTCTTCGAAGTTTTTCAAAACACAACAGTTATGAAATAAGATTAACGATATATGTTTTTCACGATAGGTTTTTAGTAAGAACAACTTACGACTGTTCTTAACCAAAATTTCTCCTGAAGACAGACAGTATCAAGAAAATATTGAGAGTGATACTGCTAGTTGAGGTAATTAATTTGATCTTACCTATGATGTTGTTCAAAATTACAAACAGGTAATCAATCCATTATTTCTTTATCTATACTGATACTCATTCAGCTTTGTGTGGCACCTCACCAATCCTGCTTGGAAATAACTGTCCGTGTTTTAATGAAATGAATAGTTATACTTTCAGCTCTTATAATAAAGCTCTTTGGGTGGCCACTCTCAGTATGCTATTCTTATTATTTTCTCCGTGAAGTTTTGACTTCTCTGTATGTTTGTGTCTGTGTGCTCTTAATGTTCTTATATATATATATATATATATATATATATATATATATATATATATATATATATATATATATATATATATATATATATATATATATACATATATATATATATATATATATTTTTTTTTTTTTTTTAAGAAACTTTTTTATTTTGTTATTTGAAAACATGTGTATGTATAAGGGAAAAGCTTTATCCTTTTCAGTACCCGGAATTCTAATATAGCAGATTTAGATTTGTGATTCTTTAGTCATGAAACTAACGGACAATAACAAGGAAGAAAGATGACCTCGTGGCAGCGTGACTATGATAAGAGAGGCGGCGCTACAGTATATAAGGCGGTAGCCAGCCATCACCAGCAGTCCGCACCCTGACTTACTACTGCACTGTTAAACATGGTTAGTCTCTTTGACTGTGATTTTTTATATTTCATTTAACATTACGCACAATAGAAATTGTGACTTATATCATTAATTACTTTATATTTCATTTTTTTTTATTTCTATCCTATTGTTTTTTCCTCATGTACACCACAAAGCATTATTAAAAAAATATGTAGGATTCTAAACAACAGCAGTTAAGTTTTATAATGCCTTGCTGTCTATTTTACTATGACAGTACTTTGTGTGTTATATGTGAGTATTTCTGTCTAGCAGAAGCTGCTTTTGGTCACCGTGAGTGCTGCTGCCCTCCTGTTGGGCTCCTGTAGAGGAGACGGAGGCCACCATGGAGGTGGCTCTTCAGGTGGACTCGGCACTTTCTCCAGTGGTGGAAGAATTGGAGGAGTTTCCGGTGGAGGAATCTCCAGTGGAGGCTATGGAGGAAGTTCAGGTGGAGGATTTGGGAGCCAGGGTGGTTTAGGCGGCCTCTCTATCATCCACACTAGTTTCACCAGCGGAGGTAACGGCGGCAGCTACGGCGGTGGCTCACACGGGGGCTTCTCCAGTGGAGGCAGCAGCTTCGGAGGTGGCTCACACGGAGGAATATCTAGTGGAGGGAGCAGCTATGGCGGTGGCTCACACGGAGGCTTCTCCAGTGGAAGCAGCAGCTTCGGAGGTGGCTCACACGGAGGTTTCTCCAGTGGTGGCAGCAGCTTCGGAGGTGGCTCACACGGAGGATTATCTAGTGGAGGTGGCAGCTATGGCGGTGGCTCACACGGAGGCTTCTCCAGTGGAAGCAGCAGCTTCGGAGGTGGCTCACACGGAGGTTTCTCCAGTGGAGGCAGCAGCTTCGGAGGTGGCTCACACGGAGGATTATCTAGTGGAGGTGGCAGCTATGGCTCCTTCGGCGGCGGTCGTGGAGGATCCCACGGAGGTCGTGGTGGCGTTTCCTTCGGGAGTCGCGGTGGATCCTCATTTGGTGGTGGAAACTTTGGTGGCCGTACATATGGCTAAGGAAAATAAACGAAATATACTTAAGAAAGTCAAGCTCTACCAAAACAAAAACGGAATGGCTACCAAAGTTATACAAATACTCTCTCCTTTTCTTTCATCCTTAGTGAAATAATAAATTTTTCATCTACATTATCGATTATTTTTCTATCCCCAGCTGTTTGAACGTTCAGTGTTTAGACGCACACACACACACACACACACACATACACACACACACACACACACACACACACGTGCCCATACGTGCACGAACTGATCGCTATAAGAACAGCCCAGTCCCAGCCATTGTAAAAATTATCAATAACTTGTAATAAACCAGTGTATTCACTCCCAGTAAACACTACTCCTTGCACTGTCACTATGTTGAAATGAACTGTAGTTTGAGCTTTTCCCCATCTAGTTATTATATGTCTTATTTGTGTCACTTATGTTACTTGTATATTATTTGTAATTCGAAACCCATTCCCCAAATATGTAACTGTATATTTTCAGCCTTCTGGCTGCCAAGCTCTTTCAATAAACCGTTAATTATTATTATTACACACACACACACACACACACACACACACACACACACACACACACACACACACAGACATGCACTACTATTACTACTTTAATGTCACTCGAAATCGAGTAAGACGATCATCCAGCTGAGGATGTCGCCTTCGTTGATGAGTTTTAAGGTGATTAAAGAGGCCAATACGGGACCGGCAGGATCGTTCACAGATGTTGCACATGTGGAGGGCTCCATCTAGTGCGAGAGGGGTGGAGGCAGCGTCTTTCCGGTTTTGGCGCTTGTCTGCCTCGGTATCCAGTCGGGCTATCTCGAAAATATTGCCACCTTCTCGTGTGGTGCTCCTCCAAGCGTTACGGTGTGGAGTAATCGTCTCCCAGGTGAGGGGGTCGATTTGGCACTTTTTCAGGTTTGTTTAAAGACTTTCCTTATATCTTTTCAGTTGCCTGCCAGAGTTATGTTTAATATTCGTTAGGTGACTATAAAGTAGCTGCTTTGACAGTCTACTGTCGGCCATGCGGGTAACATAGCTAGTCCAGCGTAGTTGTTCATGGATAATGGTAGCCTCGATGCTCTTACAGCTGGTGTCAGCGAGAATACTGGCACTTTTTCTCTTGTCTTCCCAGGGAACTCGGAGGATGGAACGTACACTACGTTGGTGAAAGTTTTCAAGTGCCTTTAGATAAGAAAATAAGAACATAAGAATGGAGGAAAGTGCAACGGGCCTATTGGCCCAAACTGGGCAGTCCCATTTACACCCAAACCCTATTGCTCGTATATCCATCCAATCTATGTTTGAAGCTATCCAGCGTATTCGCGTTAATGGTGATATTTGGTAACGTGTTACACTCGTCCACTATATTTCCAAACCAATTTTTACTTATTTCGCGCCTAAATATAAATTTGTCTAATTTAAAACCATTGTTACGAGTTCGCTCCTGGTTACATAGTTTGAGTACCTTTGTAATGTCCCCTTTGTTTAGCCATGACTTCCATTTATACACCTTGATCATATCGCCCGTCACTCTACGTCTCTTGAGGGAGTGCAAATTGAGATGCTTTAACCTGTCTCTGAACTCAAGGTTCCTAATGCCCGGGATTAGTCTTGTCATTCTCCTCTGAATTATTTCCAGGGATTCTATATCCATTCTGTAGTCCGGTGACCAGAACTGATCTACGTAATCCAGGTGTGGTCTCACAAGCGCATGATATAGTTTTAGGATGACCTCATTAGTCTTGTAACTAACACTCCAAGTACTTTATAAGACTTGTTTCGAGCAAATGCACATTGTTTACTTGGCTTAAGATTCCTACTTTTCATTACTCATAAATCTTTCTCGCAGTCGGATTTCTCAATAACATCGTTGTTCATCTGGTATCTGGTTTCCCTGTTTATATATCCTATACTGAGTACTTTACATTTGTCCACATTGAATTTCATCTGCCATTTTTCAGACCATTCGAAATTTTTTTTAGATCTTCCTGTAGTTTTGCGGAGTCCTCGTCAGATTTAATTACACGCCCCATTTTAGTTTTATCAACAAATTTACTAATGTTGCAGTCTACGCCGATATCTATGTCGTTTATGTATATGATAAATAATATTGGTCCAAGTACTGAGCCTTGGGGAACTCCACTAGTGACGTTGCTCCAATCGGATTTAGTGCCGTTAATGCTCAATCGCTCTTTCCTGTCCTGTAACCACGCCCTAATCCATTTTAGAATATCCCCTTTAATGCCATGAGCCTCCACTTTTCTTATTATTCGTGGGGGACTCTGTCGAAAGCTTTGCTAAAGTCGAGATATACCACATCATAATTGTGCCCCTCGACCACTGATTCAAAAACAGATGAAAAGAATGTTAACAGATTAGTTAGACATGAACGCCCGCTTGTGAAGCCATGTTGGGAATCATTGATCAACTTGTACTTCTCTAGGTGATTTCGAATAACGTTTGAAATGATTGCTTCCAGTAATTTGCCTACAATTGATGTTAGACTGGTTGGACGGTAGCTAGAGGATAGTGATCTATATCCCTTCTTGAAAATGAGCATTACTTTCGCTATCCTCCAGGATTCTGGTACTACACCCGTTTTTAAGGACATGATAAACGACTTTTCTAAGGGCATACTAAACTCTTCCTTACATTCCCTTAATATTCTGGCAAGTATCTCATTGGGACCTGGTGACATATTAGGCTTTAGTTTGTCTAATTGCTTACTAACATCGTTACTAGTCACTACTATCTCGCTTAATTTATTTTTTCACTATCTCTGTATATAGTTGATGCCTCGGGTATCATGTTTAAATTTTCGGTGGTGAAAACTGTTGAAAAAATATTTATTCAGATTATTGCTCATTTCTCCGTCGTTATCAGTTAGGTCGCCGGTACCTGACTGCATTGGTCCAATCTTTTTTCGTGTTTTAGTTTGATACATTTGATAGAATCCCGTGCGGTTTAACTTCACCTCCCTTTCTACCTTCAGTTCATTATTCCTCTTTGCTTTTCTTATCTCGGTCTTAACCCTACTGGCAAACTTTGATACTTTGAAGGGGCAGCTGAGAGCAGGGTATCACGCTTGGGGGTGAATTACATGACCTCACACAATGTACCCACACAGGGCGAGCTCACCTTACCTGGAGACCTGACGGTTAAGGATGACCTGATCACGAGATCTGAGGTTGACGAGTTCCACAACAATTTAAATAATGAGTTACCTAATGCACAAAGGCAGAACAAACCATACAGAAAACTTAGATCAAACAACAATGACCCCAAATAGATAAATAATTATTTAAAGAATAATATTGGACAAAGAAAGGCTATAGGTAGGAGAATAATAATCTCGGAGGTAAACTTCACCACGATATATTCTTCTACCTATAGCCTTCCTTTTTCCAATAATATTCATTAAATAATTAATTATCCATTTAGGGTCATTGTTGTTTGATCTGAGTTTTCTGCATGGTATGTTCTGCCTTTGTGCATTGAGTAACACTTCCATGAGTTTTATGCTCCGCCATTCAAGTCTTTGAATGTCAGTCTTGATTGTTTGAATGACTGAGGACAATTTTCACCAATATTTTACGAAAAAATTAATACAGCCCATACACCACACTACTGTCAACGACGTATACAGCATCGATGTAACTGATCACCACGAGTCATATTAGGCACTACAGATAGATTTCTACGTATGTAATACAGCATTCTATTACGTAGGTTGAAATAACACTGGAGAGCACTACCAAGGTAATGAATGAGACCATATCAGGCTTACGATAGAAATATTACCTATCTACTGCTTAAAGGCTGGGGATTATTGGATGGCATCGTTATGACCTGACCTCTGAAGATGTCTTGAATAAAGACGAAAGCTGAGGTGCTCCGTTGTTTCCCTTTTCCCGTGTGATTTTATCAAGATATATATATATATAAGCTTATTGCAGTTTGTTTCATCACATATTCATATAATTATATACTGTACTGTAACTCTTATTAACGCTCTGAGTCTATACGAAAAAAAAAACTCACGATTCATCGTCGCGAAGTTCACGGACAACAGAAACGAAAGTCGACCTCGCAGCAGCATGAATGGCCCCAGAGTGGCGCTACTGTACAGTATATAAGACGCTTCACCAGTCTGTTTCACTAGGTTAACTCTTCTGTACCCGCCATGGTTAGTCTCTCTACTGGTGTAATATTCTTTGACTTAAAGAATATTCTCATAGCAGTCGTCTTTATTTACACTGTTCTGTTAGGGTTTACCTTAAAAACCTTAAAAAGACTATATACTGTATATATATATATATATATATATATATATATATATATATATATATATATATATATATATATATATATATATATATATATATATATATATATATATATATATATATATATATATATTGTTCTTTGAGTTTCCTTTACATGATTTTTTTCATTTAGAATTTCAATCATAATAATGTAACAAAGTGTCCACTGCTCGCATGTGGCTAAATTACTGTTATGTTCTTTATCTCTGGGCTCATATGGCTGATACCTTATCTTGCTATTGCATACCTTTAATTAAACTTTACAACTGTGTTAAATGTGATAGTGTAAGTGTTTCTTGTGTTTTATATGTTTATATTTTTTGTTTGGCAGAAGCTGCTGCTGATCACCGTGAGTGCTGCTGCCCTCCTGTTGGGGTCCTGTAGAGGAGACGGAGGCCACCATGGAGGTGGCTCTTCAGGTGGATTCAACACTTTCTCCAGAGGAGGAGGTTTAGGAGGATTTTCCGGTGGAGGAATCTCCAGTGGACGCTATGGAGGAAGTTTAGGTCGAGGATTTGGGGGTCAGGGTGGTCTCGGCGGCGGCTCTATCATCCACGCACAGTCTAGCTTCCCCAGCGGAGGTAGAGGTTTCTCCAGTGGAGCTGGCTTCTACGGCGGTGGCTCACACAGAGGTTTCTCCAGTGGAGGTAGCAGCTTCGGTGGTGGTTCACACGGTTTCTCCAGTGGAGGCAATGGCTTCGGCTCCTTCGGCGGCAGTCTCGGAGGATCCCACGGAGGTCGTGGTGGTGCGTCCTCCGGGAGATTCGTTGGATCCTCAATTGGTGGTAGAAACTTT